TACCATTCGCAGCGACCGTAAATGGAATCCCAACGATCCTGGCTATGACATGGCCATTCCCCCAGCTACATACGATGAGGCCATGCTACGTACTGATCGAGACGAATGGTTCGCCGCCATGAAGAAAGAACTCGGCATAATGGACGAGATGCGTGTCTACAAGCTCTCTCCCCTTCCAGAAGGACGCAAGGCTATCGGTAATCGATGGGTTCTAGAGTTTAAAGAAGATAATAAGGGAGGATCGGTTTATAAGGCATGTCTTGTCGCACAAGGATTTTCTCAAATACCTGGGGTCGATTTCGGTGCAACGTTTGCACCGGTGCTGAAAACTGCTTCACTACGCCTCATAGCTGCTCTGGCTTGCAAGAACGACTGGGAGCTTCACTCATTCGACGCCACACGTGCCTTTCTCTGGGGGGTACTCAAGGAGGAAATATACATGCGTCAGCCCAAAGGATTTGAAGAAGGAGACTGGAGGGTGTTGGTTTGGCGAATGCTTCGGACGATCTACGGATTGAAGCAGTCCGCGATGGAATGGTACGAACAGGTTCGGGACATCATGGAGGAGTTGGGCTTCTCTCGCTGTGCTGTCGATTACGCAGTATTCCTTTTTGACAGCAGCGCTTCTGGGACTCACATAGTCTGCATAATCGGCTTCCACGTAGACGATGGGCTGGGTACATCCAACAATCCTGCTTTCCTGACCTGGGTCAAGCAGAAGATTCACCACCGCTTCGGTATCAAGGACATGGGGCCAGTCACCAAGTTCATCGGCATTCAGTTCGAACGCAGTCGAAGCAGCCGTGAGCTTTGGCTGCACCAAGGCAAGTACATCACCTACTTGCTCGAAGAATATAACCTGCTCGACTGTAATCCCGTCCGCCTCCCACTCGACCCACATCATCCGTTTGGAAAACCTGACGACTCACATACCATCATCCCCAACCTCCCAACACTTTTCCGCAAGCTCGTCGGAGAGCTACTCTACCTCGCAATCTGCACTCGCCCTGACATATCCTTCGCCGTGAACTCGCTCGCACAACATAACACCAAACCATTGCCTGCTCATTACGCCGCCGCAAAGCGACTGCTTCGTTACCTTTCCGGAACCATCAATCTCCGCTTGCACTATGGGGGTGTCAACGTAAACGAGGGCTTACACGCATTTTGTGACGCTGACTGGGCAGGCTCCCCCATTGATCATTTGTCGATTTCGGGTTATGTGTGGTTTTACGCCGGTGGGGTCATTGCTCACGTCTCTAAGAAACAATCAACCCACGCTCTCTCCTCCACCGAAGCTGAGTATATGGCGGTGACTCACGTCCTTCAGGAAGGCCTTTGGATCAAATCACTCATCATCGAACTACACATTCACATCCCTTCCCCCATCCACGTATTCATGGACAACACAGGCGCCATTTCATTGTCGACCGAAGCCCGGAATCATATTCGATCCAAGCATATAGACGTGCGCTATCACTTCATACGTGAGCATATCGAGAAGGGTACGTTCCTGCTCAAGTGGGTCCCCTCCCACAAAAACACCGCAGATATTTTTACGAAGGCGCTGCCGCGTCCCCTTTTTGAGAAACACTTACCGGGTCTTCACCTGATGTCTAGGTGAGGGGGTGTATTGGCGATAAGGACGAAAGAGGATGAAAGAGGACAGAAGAGTGCACCCACACGGTACGAGTCCCGGAGGATTAACCTCCGGGACATGCTATGAATTCTTATTTCCTTTCTTGACTCTTATCGACTCGTAGCACCTTCGACATCTTATATCACCCTCGTGTATCAGTCGCTTCTTTCCGTCTCGGACTCGCTTCTCTCCGTCTCGGACTTCTTGACATTCCTGTATTTAATCCCTTCCCCGTTTCCACTCTACCTCAGCGTTGCTTCACCGTCCGCTGAGGTATGATCACATTCTTGTCTCACTTATCATCCTGTTAATGTTAACATTTGTTCTAGACTTACTCCGTGTGTCTAGGTACTTAATGATAGCGTTGCTTCACCGTCTGCTGAGACTTACTCCATGTGTCTAGCTTCCTATAGTGTCATGCGACAATCTGCAGAACGATATACCTGGCGCGAAGGCTGTGATTCTTCATATGTTTTTGGAATTGCTGCTGTGAGTATTTGCATAATAAGAAAATGCCAAGTTCACATTTGACAACCTATTCATTTGGCAAAACACAGGGCCCTTGACTCCCACACATTATGAACTTGCTTGAACTGACTGAGATGTTCATCATATGCTTCAGATGGAGTCCTGTGTGTATGTCACATCATATCCAACATCAGGGAATTTTGTCAACAATGGTATACCAGCACAGCTTAGAAGAGTACACTTAGCTTATGACACTGGAAGCTCTAAATAATCTTGCTTGTGACGTCCAATCTTCACAATCAGTGGATTGCGTGAGTATTTGTAAGCTGCCGGTCTAGCTGCTGAATCAAACAAAATATTGTGATGACCGCTCAATTATCTGCTAAACAATACAAAAGTTAGATTTCCTTCGTCAAAAACACAATCCGCAAACTCTAACATGACAGGTGCACTTGGTGGATGGGGGAACTGTGGTTCGCATTAGCACAGCAAAATCAATGTCAGCTAATAGGACCAACACCGAAGAAAATGTCTGATGTGAAAATACATACTTCTCATGTTCTGTCTGAGCAACAACAGAGCATTCAACTGAAATGAGAGATACGCTACATGCTAAAGCCAAACTGCAAGACTGTCAGGTTGGTGCTAGTTCTGAACAAGATTGGAATATTCTTCTGATGGGAAGCCTGGACACAATGATCATGAAGTCGCATGGTTCTGGAATAAGCTTCGCAGAGCAAGACAGTTGGTTCAGATCAACCTCGGCAAAGACAAAAAATGATAATAACAACTATTCGTCCGGCCCACTCACATGCTGGATACAACACATTTTGTTTTGCAGAATGATTTGCCCTTTGGAGACTGAATGACAAGATGATGGAGTTGTGAGAAGGTGATGAGGTATGTTCAGAATTTCATTCAGGTCAATCCACATCAGCAAAACCTTCCCATGTAAACTTAGAGCTATTTAGACAAATTTTTGAAAGCTGTCAAAATTAATGCTAATTAGCTCTAGGAACTATAGTCTAGCACAAGTTAATGACAATTGTCCACAACTAACACAATGTTACAAAGTCATGTCTGTCTAAGCACAGATTTACAAAGAATATTTGATACTATTTGTAGGTAAACATGATATTCAATGGTACTGTTCATTATAAGTTCTACATAATGTAAGGATGCGGCGATTTTGAAATTATAATGGGTGAGAGCATGGGAAATTTTAGTAGTAGGAAAAGAAGTATCACACATATGAACACATATAAATGTTAAAAATTAGCAATTATAAAAATATAAAAAAATGATCCTGAAAAAAAGACAAACTCAACAAGAAAGTGGTCTGTGAACAGCAAGCTTGAACAACTTTGATCAGCATGGCTCAAACTCGAAGGAGGATCTACAGACTCACATCTTGCGAACAGTGGGCGACAACTTGGATCAGCATGCTGGAGCTCGAAGGAGGACGACAAGGCGCTTCATCTGTGGGACTTGAAGACAACAGGTGTTGTGTGGAGGGGCATAGTGTGTTAAGTTGATAGCGGCAGTAAGTCAAATATTTGCCTATGTTTGTTTATTCCCACACTCACATGACTTTTAGTTCAAGTTCAACGCTTGACGTTCAACGTTCCTGTCTGCACTTGTACATTCTCACTGTGTGTACCTGGCACAGGTATGTTTTTTTTCATTCTTTTTCATTCTTAACTCTAACCATCTATTGCACTTTACAGGGAAGCACTGGCTGCTGGCTTTGCACTCGGTCGGTCACACAGATCGGTCCACATTATTCAGCAACCTGGTGCGCAATGATTTTTTATTTGAGCCATGTTCTTTCTATTTAAACAAAACTATTCTAGGATGATCTCCATCTTCTTCAAAGGAAGAGCCTTCCGAAGTGAGTGCGTTAATTCTTGTTTGAGCAAGACCCATGCTGATCCAAGTCATTACTCACCATTTGCAGTGAGTGTGTTGATCCTCGTTCGAGCAAGACCCATGCTGATCCCATCCTCTCATGTCCATCTCTCACATTTTTGTACTTATAGCAGTGCGATCATTTGTTTTGCTCACATGTACTGTACTATTAGAATACCCCATTTTAATGATCATTAATTGGTTGTGAAAAATCTCTAGTGTCAAGTAAAAATGTCAAAAAGTCTTCACCAGTGGTGTCTAAGTCTGCCCAGACTGTTCTAATTTTCTTAGAATAGTGATAGGCTTTCATTAATTGAAATGAGGTAAAATAGCACTGGCTAATCTTCTAATCTGTCCAATTATGATAACTTTCTCTAACTTTCTTTAACTAGATCTAATTTTACTAATTTTGCACGGGAGGGTTTTCCTGATGCGTCTGTGGCTTCCACACAATGTGGTATCTTGAATGAGTTGCATGTTTTAACAAAGAGGACAGATTATTACCAGGAGAGACACATTATCCATTACCTTTACTTTCTGCTGGAATATATCTTGGTATGTCTATGTCTGCCGCAGTTCTATCACTCACAATTATGTGTCTCTCATGTCTGGGATTGTTAACTGATGTTCTTCAGGTGGTGACTGCGGGTGGCTTTCTCCACCAAGAGCATTTTACTGACACATATTTCCATGATTGGTGCTCCACACAGGCAGTGGAATATTCGTTATTGCAGTCGTGAATACAGTTATTTACATAGAAAGTGTCCCTATGACTTGGCCAGGTTGTAAGGAAAAATAAGTTCGATGGTTGATGGCATGCTGAACAGTGTGAACCCGTGTTACTATCCTCAGTGAACATTATACATGTACCAATTTGAAAACATGTTCAATCTTCATCATAAACCACAGATTGATTATATTAAAAGACGATAATACAGTAAAGTGTTTGTACGACAACGGAAGGTAAAACAATGATTAAGCCAGGCTAGTCTGAATCAAAAGCAGCATCCTCCAATGCCTTTCTCTGTTCTGCTAATGCCATGACGGACATCTTAGATACAACCTTGGGTGTAAGGTCCTCTTGATGGTTTGTTCTGAAAACCTTCCTAAACAGTTAGGTTAGATATATAACACACATGCTGCAACATAGTCAATACCTGGTCCACCATTCAAGAAGCGTATTCACCCTATGTCGTGCGACAGGTCCAGGGATGTCCTCGAAGAAATCTATGATGTTGTTGCAAAACACTTCATAGTCGAAGTCACCATCAATGGTGTGCCAAGATGAGACGCTGGATAGTGAAAAACAAACCTGCCAGACAGTAACTGTAAGCTAGCCGTAAACGGAGGGTAATTGTATCAACTGTCACCATCAGCCTCTTTTGCAGAGGATGGTGATGTAAAGGTGGCTTTGAAAGCCTAGTGATGTTACAAATTTATAAGTATTCACAACTATGACTGCAAGCGACTCACCTGAACCAGTATATTCGACCTAAAAAGACCTTGCTCAAGGTCCCTACTGTTAACTGAGTAGTTCTCATATACAAATAGCGGCCAAGAGTTTTCCGATATAATGTGATCTGAAGTTCTGTTGCAAATGCCGGCCTTCATGCTGCCCAAGCCTATTAATGCCATGTAATATTCAACAAAGATTGACACTCACCAGTCCTTACTCCAGTCCCACTCAGCAGGGCAGAGTAGCTTGCCACAGGTGTCATGTGCAAAGCTGCGCATTTGTTTGTCACCGGAGTTGAGTAGATGGGACGGATGAAAAGTTTCATTGACCCAGGTGGCAACCAAATCCTTTAGAGTGGACATATTGTCACCGTGGGCTGCATCCACTCCTCTTTTGATCTAAAAATTATCAGCGTGTGGTGCAAAAAGTTCAGCAAGTGAGAGCACACACCTTCTTCAGCACATCTTCGGTGTCATCAGAGTCAAGTTCTGCAAGTTTTTCATGGATCCACGGGAGAACTTGCGTCAATGCGATGTATCCATGCTGCAAGCAATTTTGGCTATATCATATAATTAAACACATTATAGAACAATGAAAAAAAAGACCTACTCTGCAGTGGAATCCTCCCAGCCCTCCTCGCATCTGCGATCATTCTCAGCAATTAAGTCTTCAATGTTATCATAGAGGACAACCATATGTCAGACTGCCTGGCCTTGAGAAATGTAGTAGGTGGTTTTTCTTTGAGGATCAATGAGTGAAATGTATATAGTAAGTAAGATGGGTGATGAACCTCTGCTTCGTTCCTCTTTCTTGCCTCATCACCTGCAACTCCTCTTCCAGAGCAGTGATACGACACTTGGCCCTTGCCTCTATGGAGGTGGGGACTGCACCAGAGAGTTCTGAAGGTGCGAGTGAGCGAGCTTTGCTGTGATGGTCATCCTCCGACACAGACATGGTAGAAGTGAGAGATGTTAAAGTGAATGTGATAAGTATAAAGAGTGATGAGTGAGAGACAAGTAAGAGAAATAATGAGAGATGGTGAGAGAATGGGAGAGAATATGCAGACAAGAAACCCCTCCTTTATAGTGTGCACACACGCTAAATGTCGAGATGTATCAGGTGAAATAACCCAATAAGGTCAATCAGCCTAAAGAGGATACGGGAGAGGGAACCAAAGAGCGGGTCTCATTGCTCAGAATATGGTATCATAACATGATATTAACTCAGCTTACTGGCTCTGCCACTAGCAATATAGATGAATCAGTACAAATAAAATCTACAAAAAACGAAGTTGTGAGAAGACATCCACACAACTGGTAAAAACCATGCACTGCGGGGTTGCCGATTCCAAAATCGGTGCAACACCCTTCTTTCATTCAGACCACGTCTCCAAACAAAGTTTTAAAGGTAAGGGAGGAGGGCACCAGAACTAGGTTATTATGGGCGAGATATAATCCAGGCAAGTTGTAATACTGCAGTGACCTCACACTGACTAGCCTGGAGTAGATGACCCTCACTTATGGACAGTCGTGTCCGCTTCTGTGGCTCTAAGACCTGGTGAGTGTGGCGGTTCCCATCGTTCACAGTGGCCGCTAGTCTGTGTGTATCCTTGTAGCACTACTGCCTGAAGGGGATTGCTTGTATGGTATAGATGTCTGGAGGAAGTGGAGCATGTAGTCTAATCAAATCTCCTGCGTCTGTAGCAGATATTCCGGGCATCGTGATTGTGGTCTATGGAAGGACAATCAACAAAACTCCTGAACAGTGATGGACTGAAGAGACAAACATGGTGGCTGTGTGCTGGGATCTCCATGATGCCATCCTCTAACCGAAATCGACTTTGCGGATGATGTTGGAAATCATGGTCTCAAGTTGCAGGTATGCGAACTATTGAAAAAAATCAGCCAAATTCACTTGAGCAAGCAGGTAATTATGCTCGCCAATGCATCTATGCCACCCAGCACTGAAGGGTTGGTACAGGTTCTCAGTGCCTTCACTTACAGCACCGAAATCTTCTCGCCATTCTCGTCGGAGTAAGTCTTGAACGCCTGAGCAGTAACACTCTCGGGATCATTTAACTGTGTCAGTCCCACTTTATGGGGGTTAGCCCAGATATGGTGGTTAACCTGGCTGCAACAGTAGAAGCAAGCTCATAGTAGCCCTTTGGGACGACATAAGCACTATCTTTGGAGGGAGTGGTGAGAGTCACCAGAATTGGGACATCAGAATGAACATAGTGTTATAATGCTGTGAATAGGCAGGGGAGCGTCTCAGGAATGATGGAATCAAGAACTGGAGGCTTGCGAGGTCATTGGGCATCTGGGTTGTTAAAGTAGTTGACTTGCTCCTAGTACTTAAAGTGCTTCCCTATAATAATAATGAGTGTATGTTAGCCATCGGTAATGAAAGACCTGCTGGACTTGGACATTGTGAGCAAGGCAAAGTAGACACCCAGGTTGCAAAACATCGGTCAGACCTAGATTTGTCCATCACATGATGCGTCAATTTAAGTATTATGCTGCTCATTTTAGCTGAAAAGAGCTGGATATAAGGAGAGTATATAAGCGCAAAGGGGGGGGGGGTATAATGAAAACAAAAATTCTAGTACTGGTATATGTAGATAGTAAGCTATGAATCAGAAATACAACATGTCGTCGTCGTCATCCTCATCTGCCTCCTCATTTATGTCCTCACCAACCTCCATCCCCTCATTGTCCAGGTCACTTTGGATGCTAGACTCTTCATCATCATCACACTCTGGCTCTTTATCTTCTTTGTCACCTTCATCTTCCTCCCCTCCTCCATCTCCACTGACACTGCAACAAGACTGAATATCGCTCTCCCGCTCGTTGTCCTCATTTGCTTCCAATCCTGCACTATCCATGAAGTCCGCATTGGCACAATCTCTCGCTAGTTTGCACAGAACAGTAGGATGTCCAATACTGTAGTGCATATAACACATAAACATGTCCTGGTTGACGAATATGAATGTTAACAGTCAGAGTGAGGACAAAAGGATGAAACAGTGCACTTACATGGCAACATAATAAGCTTCCCAGTCGTCCAATTCACCACATTGTTGTGCAAATGACTTTCCATGGTGAAGAGAGGTCATTCTGCAGTGAAAAGCAAATGCGGGAATCAGATGTGCGCTCCTAATGACCTGGCTGGGATCAAGAAAGCCAAATGCATTGCGATCAGAATCTTCGACAAACACAAGCTTTGGAAGTCAAGCGTAGCTCATCCCTGATTGGTGGTCGGTCAAGGGACACTATCCATCGGACATAAAGGACCTCAATTTGGTGCCTCTTTGTTGGACCTTTGATATTGAGCATTACATCCATGTTGTAAATGCCCAGAACATGGGCATACCAATATGGATGTCGGGGCCTTGTCTCCCCAGATAAGACCATGATGTCAGCGTACCTCTAAGGATTGATTGTATCATACTCGCACTGAAGGTTGTAAGTCATGTAACAAATCTGTCAAATGGAAGTATCATGCACCAGCAAAACTGATAATGTACATAACATACCTGCATTGTTTGGACAGAGTAGAGCCTGTTATTTGAGATTATGACCGAATTGCGCTTGGCATCTGTGAAAGTATGGTCACAATAGCTGACATGTAAGTTTCGAAGACGATATAATATATGGTCTTTGAGTTTGGGTATGAACTCCTGCATAATATTCCGAATAAGATGAACATCAGGAGAGCAATACCTACTGCGACAGCTGGATCATTATCATGATCTCGAAGAAAACTGAACAGATCCAATGGGTTATTGCGGCAAAGTGTTGGTATATAATGGTGATCCTTCAACCCGACAGGCAATTCAACCAGTGGCTGTTCTGTAGAGTGCAAATTATGTCCTGCCACTCGCCGAAGGACTTGACGACGATGTTCATGCTTAGCAAGTTGAGCTGGCATGTCGAGTTTGCTGATCAACAGATAGAATGCTTTAAGGGCTCTATGAGCCAACTCTCCCTGACCGGGAATCAATTGGAGTGTAAAGAAAACGTAGAGATTAATGTACGATTTGCGACATAAAAGAGTCTGTGGTCCCAAAGAGCTTGATTGAGTGTAGACAATCTCCCATAGCGTGAAACTTGTAAGTGTTCATGTTAAATTTCTTACCCTTTTGGCAACCACTCCCAGCATCTGCATTGTTGGCACCTGAGCATTCACGGGCAGCCTTGCACTCACAAGCAGCCCTTTCTTTTGGTAATTCTACTGTGGTGAAGGTGGCACATGTGAGATCTTGGAATTTCTGTAGCTGACAGGACAGCCTCTTGAACGTCTGATCTAAAACTGTTAAGGTGGTCTCGGAATGTAGCCTTAGTTTGGCGAGGGCGTGCCATTGGGCAAATCTGTACAGAAGTGTTTGTATGAGTGCATCATGGTCTTCTGGGAAAAGTCCTTCAAAGACTGGCATAGCACACTAAGAAGAATTTAGATAGCACATGTCGATAACTGAATGAATGAAACAAACCTGCAAAATGAATGTCCTCGAAGTCCCATGCTGCAAGCCCTTTCATTTTGGAGGTGTTGTTCACAAATTTGCGAATAACCCCATGACCATATGAAGAGACGTAGCGAAATCTAAATTAAACATTGTCACTTTGAGTCAGGAGAATGGCATAGGACAAACCTATTGTCAAGAGTTGCGACCAGCTGGTCACCGCCAGGAAGGGCATAAAGCAGACAGATGAGGTGTGTAAATAGTGCTTTCCATGTACCTAGTTCACAATTCGTGCATGAAATCTACAATGAGCATGTGAAAGGCATCAAATACGAAGGGTCCTAGTTTTTCTACAAATGCATTCTGGTTATGAATCAGGTACTTAGTAGTCATGAGAGGATGAACTCTGAAGACACTCACCACAGTCGGCACCCAGGATCCTTCACCAAGAGTCGACTGTACCTTTGAGCCATTGATGGTATTTCTCCTGCTATAGATGAAGCTGCAGGCCATGGTTACACTCTCCAGACAGTAAGCTCGAAGATTAGCGAGGCGATCTTGCAGGTCTCTAAACAGACCAAAGAGGTCAAATGAAGCCTTCGGCAGGAGACATTGTGGACATGGGCAAGAACCCATATGTATCTTTGATTGTAGCTATTAAAACCCTGATGAAATGATTGGTACGTCAATGGAAAAAATAAAAAAAATGAAGAGAACTTTTCTGGATAATCAGCTGAAGAAGTGAAAATACGTGGAAAGATCCTTCTATATACTCCATATGGGCACAAGAGCATCTGTATCCAGGAGATGATTCCAACATGCGTGAAACAAGTTGCACTGACAATGCTTATGAAGTGTTGCCATGCCACTTTTCAATATTCGATCTAAGGTGCTGAAGACATCTTTAACACTATCCGGAAGCTAAAAATTCAACGTGAGAGAGACAACAGTGCAAGAGGCAATTCACCTACAGAAAGGAAAAACCCACAAGATGACATGCGCTGGATTTGGGTGCTGAGCGTGCGTACTTCGTTAAATTTCCAAAGTATAAGTAAAGGGGCCACACTTTGGCCGTTCTGAATGTCGCAAGATGTGTTGCATCTGAAAAGAACATGAGTCTGGCAATGACATGGTCCAGCGAACAGCCAGGTTCTCTTGGCTGCCTATGTAAGTTATCCTGAGCATCTAACCAGGAGTACGAGGTGTAGAGCTCATCGAACACATGTTCTTGATGGCCATCTAGGGGATCTTTCCACATGCACTGAAAAGGGAACAGATGGTATGCACTAGCTTGGATATCAGCGAACACAGAACAAATCACAGCGACCAGCAGGCGATAGTGAAAGCCAGGGATGGTAAATGACCTGGACAAGTCCTCCTTTGACCTCACAGGTATCTCAATCGTGATATCTGTCTCCCGCCAGTCATCCAGAAAGGTGATAGTTCCCTTTCTGCTGTTATCGTCCAACACGTGGAGACTCCTCCTTACCAAAAATCCATCTAGATCCTTGGGATTGAAATCCTCTGCCTGGACCACATCTTTAACAAGACATAATACCTCTGCCTCTGATTTTTGATGGCTACCAGAATTCATCCATGTTATAAGATGGTAGATGGTCATGTTGGCGAAGGGATAGGGTGGTCCAGAGACCCCATGTGATGGGTCAAGTTCTTGAGTATTGTGCACTTTCACAATCATTGGACATGTTGTAGCTAATAGCGAGGATGGAATGAATTTGTTGGGCTCAAATGAGGGGCGCCTAGGGTATTTTCGACTGAGTCCAATCGCAGTGAACACCGTTTGAAGAGAGTCATGCAACATCAAAAGAACTCTTTGAATTCTGCGCTGTGGTGGATTGTGAATTTTTGGGAGAGTAGATGGGCTGTGTCCAGATGAATCAGAAAGGTTGGTATCTTCGTCGGCGGGCAGAAAGTCATTGAACGATCTTGGGACCATAAGCATGCATTGTGAGGGATGAGTTCCTTCAGTGACAAACTCCATATTATACGGGGGACCCGACCTACATAATACCTGGTATAAGACGGGCCAGCGGACTATGGGCCGATGTTATGTATATCCCTGATGTTGACGGATGGGCTGGGAGGGGTATTATTTCTGATGGAGATGGGTGGGCCCATCTGGGTAATATGTAGAGTAGGATGGAGATGTATATTATAGACAGCTGGGCTGAAGAGAGATGTAAGGCAAACACTATTATATAGACTAGTGGGCCGACGTACTGGAATTATTTTGTAGACAGGTGGGCCGAGGGAGCGGTAAAATATTTATTATATAGATGGGTGGGCCGAGAGTGCAGTAAAATATTTATTATATAGACAGGTGGGCCGACAGAGAGGGATGTTATATAGATGGGTGGGCTGAGGTAGTGAGATATTGTGTACATGGGGTGGGCCTGTATACATATCATATAGACATATGGGCCAAGGAATTGGTATACTATATAGAGATATAGGCTGAGGTAGTAATATATATTATATTGACAAGTGGGCCAAGGGAGTTATGATATACACAGGAGGGCATAGGTAAATGGGTAAAATAAAGACAACTGGGCTTAGATAGTTGGATAACAAATGAATCAGTGTGCAGATGTAGGCACCAGAGAATCGAACACATGGAGTACATACCCACTATATGAGTGCATATGCCTACCATCAACCACAGAAACTCAAAGCCTGCAGTTCAAAGCCCAAAACCCTGAATACACCATGTCTGACATACACTGATCACCAAGTCCCGAGTCCTGAATCCTGGTGTGCAACATATTTAGTTTTCTACCACAAATCACCGGGTCTCGAAATCCAAACACCCAAAACCCGAAGCTCAGGATTCAAGACTCAAAACTCGCAAAAATGTGTGAAATTTCAATTTTCCTTGGACATCTCACTGAGTTCCAAGTTCCAAGTGCTGGATGCCAAGTGCCGAGTGCCGAAGCTCGAAACTTGAAATCAGTGGAAAATGAAATCTCGCAACAATGTACACATGAAAATGTTTCATTTCCTTTGACAATTCACCGAGTGTCTTGTACTAACTCAGGGAATTGTGAAATTTCTATTCCTTGGACATTTCACTGAGTTCCGAGTTCCGAGTGCCAAAGCTCAAAACTCGGTACACAACACTCAGGGGATTGTGAAATTTCTATTTCCTTGGACATTTCACTGAGTTCCGAGTTTGGAGTGCTGAAGCTCGAAACTTGAAATCAGTGGAAAACAAAATCTCACAACAATGTACACATGAAGATGTTTCATTTCCTTTGACAATTCACCGAGTGTCTTGTACCAACCTGACAACACAGTCCAGGCTTCAGGCTTCAGGTTTCGGGGCTCAGTACACAACACTTGGGGAATTGTTTATGGAAATGAAACATGTTCATGTGTACATTGTTGCAAGATTTCATTTTCCACTGATTTCAAGTTTCAAGCTTCAGCACTCGGCACTTGGCACTCGGAACTCGGAACTCAGTGAAATGTCCAAGGAAATAGAAATTTCACACATTTTTGTGAGTTTCAAGTCTCGAATCCTGAGCTTCATGTTTCAGGTGTTTGGATTTCGAGACCCAGTGATTTGTGGTAGAAAACTGAGTTTGTATCTGGGTTGAAAAATAATGTTTTGCCAACTCGATGCAAATGAACAGTGGCGGCACAACTTCCTTGAATGGTCTTTTTTATTCTATGGACATCTGTGGACCCTCGGGTTCAACTTGGCTGTGCTCAAACATGAGACCCTCGATGGCAGGAGGATCCTTGAGTTTTGGAGGTGTGAGCTCCATCCCTGCCATCGACAGATCAATGAGAGAAGGAAGTGCTGATTCGGGGGGTGACATGGAAGGGGGGACTGGTTAATGAAGCAACAAAGATGTTGCATTGGCAGGGGGGTCCGGAAGTGGAAATGATGGGTGCTGGAGGATGATTTCTTGTGAAGACCTTCATGGAGGCATTGCAGGGTATCAATCTTACCATCCTGCTCTGCCACACGAGCCTCGAGAATTGCGATTCGAGCTGCACCATCCCAAATAGCCATTGCCATGGGCACATCGAGTGCCAAATGAGAAACTCCAGAGGTTGATGATGGAACTCCTACAAGTGGAAATGAGGTCAAATGGTCATAGAAAATTCGAGTGACATACGAGCTGGTGCAGGTATAGGTGCCTTGACGGCAGTGATGGTCTTGCTGCACCTGTCCCTGTAGAATTGATGTATCATTGACTACAATTATAAGGGAAGTCTGATACATGGATTACTGTAGTGCATAGATATCCATTATTATAGGACTGATATATCAGTGGAGGATCCCCCTAATCCTGTCAGGACCTTTCCACATTAATCTCAGACCCCTAATTATCCATTTTTGCCCCTTTGGTGGGGAAGTGTTCTATGATATTCAGAACATGTTTATGAGCATATATGAGTAGATTCCCATCTTTATTTGACCCCCTGAAGTATCCTACATTAATAGATATAGCACATATGCACAAAAACACAGAATATGTTCCCATTTAATTATTTCTAGGTGGACAGACTTGGAAAAATCCCAGCATCTATTCAACAATAGGAACAATGTATCAGCAGCCCAGGACCATAGGATAATACCCTGTTGCATGGTGTGTTCTCCCTCTCCTGATGGTTCACCCCCTGTGAAACTTTTTCCTGTAGGACTGGACCTTAATTGAGGTAAGGGGTCTATTTCTATGTATATTTGGAGTAGATCTATTATATAGCTGGCCAAGGAAACACATAGGATCCTGCTACAAGAACAAAAACATAGAAAATCCCACTTTTGACATTTCTGATGTTTTTCAACATCTTACTCTTGCATAAATAACCAGCCCTGCTCATATATCACAAGTAGTACATTCACACATATATTCTGTGCCAAGGATCAGCCCTACATAGGGCGCAAATTTGATATCTGATGTACAGGGGGTATTTCTACTGATAAGAAGCCTACATAGTAATCAAGCCTGTGATAAGTGATCAGATACCTGTTATACCTCTCATATATGTCCCAGATGATGTATTTGAAGTTTTAGAAAGATCCATGAAGGACTGACTCAATGACAAGTAAAATGACATATCTGTGAAAAGTGACAATTGACATATTTTTACACGAAGTCACATTTATATATGGTACAGGTCAAATATATTATTCAAAATATGTAGGATATATGGTGGACTACTAAAAGAACCTATACTACATACTGCCCTGAGGTTAGAGGTTTGTGGAAGTAATGTGGTATATATCTGAGTTGACCCAGCATTAAAGTCCTACTACTGTCCAACTGATCATTTTCGATGTTTTGGGTCTTTGAACTTTCCCACACTCAATTTCTTATCTATTTCACTTCCTTAGCACTCAATTCTTGTTGAATTGTTTTGTAAATTTAGGTATATGATAGTGAATATATTTTAAATCTACTCCAGGTGTCTGATTATTAAATTTCAATGTTTTGAAAGTATGGGCTCCTTATCAGTAGAAATAGCAAGTATCCACACTAGCTCAAAACTCCGGCCTATTTTGAGCTGATCCTTATCATACAAAGGAATATCATTTCGGTTATTCCCAGCCCAGTCGCTCATATTCTTCAGTTGTTTCCTGGACACACCTGGAACATGGTTCCGGACCACATCTTTTCATCCCACCTATGTGAGTTTCATGATGTCGCAGATCTGGGAGATCCATCCCGGATTGTATCTGACTATGATACTCCATGGTGGATGAGATAAACTGCCATCCCGAATGAACCATGACAATGGGATCGGGTAATGACTTGCTGTATCTTTCACTACTAGCATTGGCTAGTAAGAATTTTATTCCATTTCCATGATTCATGACTAATCTGTTCTAGGGTGGTGTTGAGAATGATGGTCTAACTCTTCCTGAGCAGGTGGATCAAACCTCAGTTCCAGCACTGATGGGACTGAGGTGGATTAGAGAATACCTCCTGATATTGCTTGAGGAGCAACAGGAGGGCATCTGTGATATGATGGCAGAGATGCAGATGTACGCCACCATCCTAGACAAATTGAAGATAGGCAGAGGAGAGTAGCCCTAGTCACTGAGTTCAGAATTTTGAAGTCCATGTTCCATACATGATGTAATGAGTACTGAAAATCACATACCAACTTCCAAATATCTAACATAATATTATATCCTGAGTCCCGAATATCACGTTCTGGATGTCAAATATCTAGAATTAAATATCAAGTCCCAAGTATCGAGTTCCAAATACTGAGTCCCAAGTTCCCAATATCGAGTTCCAAGCTACTGATATTGAGTTCCTGACATTGCGTCCCAGATATCGAATTCTGAGTTCCGAATATTGAGTTCCAAGTGCTGAATATCGAGTCCTGATTATTGAGTTCCAAATATTAAGTGTGGAGTTCCAAATGTTGAGTCCCGATTATCGAGTTCCGGATATCAAGTTCTGGATATCAAATTTTGAGGTTTGAGTGTTGAGTCCCAAATACCTAATATCAAGTCTCTTCCAAATATGGAGTTCCAAGTGCCAAATATTGAGTCCTGATTACCGAGTTCCGGATATTGAGGTCTGGATATCGAGTTCCGAGTTCCGAGTATTGAGTCCCAAATCCCTAATATTAAGTTTTGGAAATGTTGGTCCTAGATGCTTCATTGTTGGCAATCGATTATTGGTACTTGGTATTCCAGAGTAGGTACTAACATGGGTAACTACACTTTCTACTTGTTTGATCTTTCATAGGGTGGTCAGGGTGGGCAATCTACCCTAGCCCATCCACATGAGGGAACCCCAGCATAAATATGAACAGAATCCCTCATATACCATGCCCACGCAACCCGATCCCCGTCCACTTCATGAACCCCATGTCTAACAATCCTTCCAGAAAATGCAATCATACAGCCAGGATTGTACCTGAACTCCAGCTGAAGGCTTGGCATACTAATGTGAGCATTGGAATAATTCCCCACAGTGGTGAGAATATTGAAGAATTCTGGAATGGATAAATGGTCTCGATGATTCGGGGTTTGCCAATTGGAAATGATGGAGAGGGAGTTAAACATGGATGCCCAGTACTGGAGGGTCTCAGACATCTGTGGCAGTTCCTTGCTTTCTGCCTTTTCTCCGAGGCTTGCAAAGGCTCATAACCCTGCCCAGTACTGCTCTGGATGCATCACCCTGAGCCCCTTCAGTGACAAATTCCGTATTATATGGGCCACCCGACCTACATAATATCCCGTATCAGACGGGCCAGCAGACCATGGGCCCATGTTGTGTATATCCTCGATGATGACGGATGGGCCGGGTAACATATTATTTCCGATGGAGACGGGTGGGCCCATGTATGCCAATGATATATATATCCTTGATGTTGACGGATGGGCCAGGGGAATATGATCATTCATGGAGATGGGTGGGCCCATCTGGGTAATATGTAGAGTAGGATATTATAGACAGCTGGGCTGAAGAGAGATGTAAGGCAAATATTGTTATATAGATGGGTGGGCCGACGGGGGTGTATTACATATATGGGTGGGCTGAGGTAGGGGAATATTACATAGACAGGTGGGCTGAGGTAGGGGAATATTACATAGACAGGTGGGCTGACATGGGGCATATTACATAGACAGGTGGGCCAACGTAAGGGATATCAAATAGACGGGTGAGCCGAGGGTGCAATAAAATATTTATTACATAGACAGGTGGGCCGAGGTGGTGGAATATCACATATACGGGTGGGCCGACATAAGGGATATTAATTAGATGGGTGGGCTGAGGGTGCGATAAAATATTTATTACATAGACAGGTGGGCCGATGTGGGGGAATTGTACATAAATGGGTACATATATGGGTGAGCCTAGATATGTTTCATCAAGACATATAGCTGATGTAGCCACCAGCGAATCAAACATGTAGGATACATGCACACTATGAGTGCATATACCTACCATTGACCACCGAAATCTAAACCTGTAAGGACGAAAACATGAATGGACCATGTGTGGCATTGACCAATAATCAAGTACTGAAGTGGGAAAACCGCACACCTGAACCCTGGTGTGCAACATATCCTATTTCTACACACGGACACCAGAAGCACAACAGTCGCAAAAATATAAATGTCAAATTTTCACAGTGCCGAACCCCAAACCCTGAGATTTGACCAGCTCCTGAACCCCAAAATTGTGGACTGCCGGGTCTTGGGGGTCGGGGGTTGGCACTCGGGACTTGGGAAATTTGTGGAGATCAATAAAATTTGATCTACAATAAATTTGATTTACAAACCAATTGATTTACAAACTTTTGAAAGATATCTGTGTCGTCTCACATATCGAGTCCCGAGTTCCGGGACCCCCGAAGCCTGAGACCCGAGACCCGGCAGTCCACAATTTCAGGGTTCGGGAGTTGGTAAAATGTCTATGTATATACGAAGGTTGATTCAAACATGTTTGAAAAATGTCTTTTATCTCAAAAATCAAGTCCCGAGTCCCGAGTCCCGAGTCCCGAGTCCCGAGTCCCGAGTCCCGAGTCCCGAGTCCCGAGTCCCGAGTCCCGAGTCCCGAGTCCCGAGTGCTGGGTGCTGGGTGCTGGGTCTTGGGGTTCGGGACTTGGGACTCGATTTTTGAGATGAAAGACATTTTTCAAACATGTTTGAATCAACCTTTGTATATCCATAGACATTTTACCAACCCCCGAACCCCGAAATTGTGGACTGCTGGGTCTCAGGGTTTGGTGGTCCCAGAACTTGGGACTCGATATGTGAGACGACACAGATATCTTTCAAAAGTTTGTAAATCAATTGGTTTGTAAATCAAATTTATTGTAGATCAAATTTTATTGATCTCCCCAACTTTCCCAAGTCCCAAGTGCCAACCCCCGACCCCCAAGACCTGGCAGTCCACAATTTCGGGGTTCAGCACGGCAAAAGTTTGACATTTGGGTGTTTGGGTGTTTGGCTTTTGGGTGATATCTACCTCAATCTACAGTTTCAAGTTCTAAGTATCGGGACTCGATGACTGAATCATTCAATTGTGGCATAGGTAACATGCATTGAAAAAGATTTATGTACATCTATCACTGAGCAACTATGTAGCCATTTCAACCTCCTCACCAGGACGCTCAACCTTCACCTCAACATCCATCTCCTCATCAGAAGAATTATATTCTGGCAAGAGGTTGCCTGGATCATCTGGGACCACAATTTCGCCGGAGGATTGTGGACCCTCAGGCTGAACTTGGGTGGGCTCAACCATGAGACCTACCATAGCAGATCCATCCTCAACCGTCAAGGGTGTGGGTTCCATGACTGACATGTCCAAATCAATGAGGTTAAAAAGTTCGGAGGGGAGGGGTGACATGGACAGGGGACCGGATTGATCAAGCAAGATTGTTGCATTGGCAGGTGTGTCCGGAAGTGGAAATGAAGGGTGCTGGTCAACCACCTTACACTGGAGGCTCTCATGGAGGCATTGCAGGGTATCAATCTTATCATCCTGCTCCCGCACACGAGCCTCGAGAATGGCGATGCGAGCTGCACCATCCCGAATCGCGATTGCCATGGAATGGAGATCCGGCATGGGAACATCAAGTGCTGCACGAGGCACTGCGAAGCTCAAAGACGGAACAGCTAAGTAAAAAATGAGGTCAGCTGGTCATTAAAAGTTTGGGTGACTTACGAGCTGGTGCAGGTGCAGGTGCAGGTGCAGGTGTCTTCTTGGCAGTGATGGTCTTGCTGCGACCACGTGACTGCACCTGGGGTGTACTTGCAGCAGGGATGGCCGGAGTGCGGGACAGGCCACGAGATCGACTATGAGTTCGGGCCCTTGACTGCGACAGTGACGGAGCATTGGATGGAGCAGGGGCAGGTGTCTTGGAACACATCCGACCAGTGGTAGACTTCCCTCGGGTGTGTTTGGGCGGGGATCCCAGAGATGCAGGGTTGCATTTGATCTTTTTGGTGGAGCAGCGGATGCAAGACAAGCAGGGGTGACTGGACCTCTTGTCTAAACAAGTTGCACAGGGCCAATCCTCCTTTACGCAATAATGGCAGGGGTTGTTCTGTGGGATCCGTTAGTGGATGGACTAAGGGGAATTAAATGGAGTACTCACTGGGCCGGGAATGGTGATATCAAATGTGGGATTGGCCGGAGGTTCACCATCCAAAGCACTGGAAGTACCATCAGAGGACTCAACGACTTCCGGACGACTGCCGGAGGTTGCCTGATAATGTGTTAGTATAAATGTGAGTTCCAGGCGAACTGCTAAGACTTACCAGAGCCTCTGGTTGACTGATGGGAGATTTCTAATGCAATGGGCATGAGTGCAAATGATACATGTGAGTTCCGGACACATCCAAAAGACTCACCATGACCTCCGGACAACTGCCAGCAGTCAGCTGTGGATGCACGAGCATATATTTGAGTTCCAGACGAATAAATCAGACTTACCAAAGCAGGCCCAAATGATTGCTTCTTGGGGGAACCAGGTGACCGAGGCAACTGGGGCATCCTTACAACAATGGTGGAGAGCTGGGGAAGGATGACCTCTGGCACTCCACGCAAAATCGGCTGCAACAAATTGAGAGTGTGACACAAATGAGCCAGACCACATACCTGAACAATTGTTTCCTCATCATCTTCCGACTCCACAAACGGCTTCGACTTGGCGAGTCGAGGTGACTTGATGTGCTTGCGACCCTTCATCACTGACTTTGGAGGTTGGGAGGAGTGTCCAGAAATCATGGGAGACTTCCTCTTGCTGCTCCCTCCGACTTCCGGCTCAAGGTCAACAGCAACCGCCTTACCTTTTCCTTTGTCCCAGAACTCAGAGGTCATCTTGCCGGATGAACCAGCAACATTGCCGGCGACGACGGGAGGGGAGGGAAGAACAGGTGCAGGGAAGGGACAGGTGGAGATGGAAGGTTGACAGTCAGTGGGCCAGTGGAAGGATTAGGAACAACAGGGAGATCACAGGAATTGTCACCCAACGCCTCCCAGGCACGAACCTGCTTGCGCCAGGCATGTCTTGACACCCAGGGGTCATCATGGCCAATGCTGTGCCAGTTGGGCAACACCTGGGTAGTCATGGAATGCACCCTAATCAGCTCCTTAGAACAGGAAGCCACAATACCAGGGATGTAATCCCCTTTCTCATGTGCCCGGATGATGTCACCCTACCCGGATATTAGAAACATTAATGGTAAAATAATTTAATGAGTGCTACTTACCAAGAGAGTGGTGACCTGTTTTGTCAGAGCAAGGTGGACATCCACTGTGCCGGCCGGGATGTGCCGAGCACTGGCAATGATGCCCACAAGCTGAGCAGTGGATGCCTTGAGGCCAGCCAATGAGGATTGAACTGGAGTAGACATTTGGATTGAGTTGAGAGATGTGAGAATGTCGAAAGCAGGGTGAAATCTTTTATCACTAGGATGAAGTTTCAAAGAAACAATACAATTGAAGGACAATGTTGAAAATTGTTGATTGTTTGTCTTTGTTTGGTTGTGGTTCGACTTCTTTCAGCAATCACTGGCCATGTGTTAAACTTCAAAGTTATCAGTTATCAATCAGTTCATCAGCTCATCAGATATCATGAGCTCTCAACCTGGGGTCAGATTTCATGACCCTCTGGTCACTGAATGGACCTCAATGGATGTGGATGAGTCCTCCAAGTCCCGTATGTCCCTTGGTATGTTTTGTTTTTGTTATTTCATTCAATTGATCAGACATGTTTTAGATGCATTAGATGATATATACCTTGGGCCGGATGATGAGTTAGACTCTAATTCTGGGTCATCCGGTGGTTCGGATGCATTGAATGTGATTCCCGGTATGTTTCTCAATTTGAATGTACATATTCTACATGTGCAAATTCATCACATATTTCCAGATCCATCATATCTGGCCCTGGCTGATGGACTCGCCTTGTATGACAACCCGGACTTGTATCTTGGTCCAGAGGATACCTTGATTGAGTCTGATGATGCTCCGGCTGTACCTGATTTACCAATGACTGGTGAGATTATTCTTTCCATCTCATGTTCATTTTTCATGGCATTTCCCAAGTGAATGAATCGACTCCCGAACCTCATCCGGCCAGTCCGGCCAGTCCGGCTGTACCAGAGGCACCCATACCTTGTATGTGTATTCATATCATGTCATGTGTTCTATTCATGTTATCTCCCAAGCGAATTCAGCAACTCCCAAATGTCAATTGCCTGAGCCGGCACTCAACAATGAAGAACTGCGTGCCATGGTTTGGGAGTTCATGCCAATCGGATCTTATGATCAAACCAAAAGTAAGTATACAACAGTTGATTATTTATCTCTGCTAATTTTCTGCAAGTTCAAACAATTGTAGATCACCTGGGTGATTACCAACAGCGTCATGGAAATCTTCCTGACCCTACAGTAGCACAACTTCTTGAGGCTGACAGACCATTCAGGATGGCATGGGCTGAAACATGCGACAAACTCTGGAAAGCAGATGCAGACCTCCGGAGGATGCAAAGGGTAAGGGAGTCAACCTCCGAAATGCTGAAGGTATTAGATACCCTCATTGACTTCTTTGAGGACTCAAGTAACATGTAAATATCAATCAATGTCTGATAGTAGACACATTGCAGTATACTTTACCTACTCAGTACTCGGTGCCCAGTGTTCGGTGCTTGGTACTCAGTACTCAGGATTTGGTACTCGGGCCTTGGTACTCGGGATTTGGGATTTGGGATTCGGTCGTTGGTACTTTGACATATACACAATAGCACATATGACAGTACACATGGGGGCTGGAAGATATATCACATATTACAGTGACCTATCTCCGTATAATACGAGGGAACGGACATGCATAATATCCCGTATGATACGGGCCAGCGGACCATGGGCCCATGATAACAATATCCTCGACTATGACGGATGGGCCGGGAGGGAAATTATTCCCGATGGAGGCGGGTGGGCCCATGCAGGGAATATATAGAGTAGATGAGTGGGCCGATGAATATGAATATTAGGTAGACGGGTGGGCCGAGGTAGTTGGATATTATGCAGATGGGTGTATTAAGGTAGATGTGTATGAGATAGATGGGTAGGTACTTGTTATCACATTCACGGGTGGGCCCAGACACATATTAAATTAGACGGGTGGGCCGAGGGTATTATAAAATATTGTATTAGACGGGTAGGCCCAGATGCATATTAATTAGACGGGTGGGCCGAGGGTGTTGTATGGGATGTTGTATTAGATGGGTGGGCCGAGGGTGGTATAAAATATAGATGGGTGGGCCCATGTGTATCATAATTGTAGACATGATGGAGCTGAGGTAGTTGTACATCAACCAAATCAGAGGAGGTAATAAATCAAAGTTACCGAGTTCCCGGAGCAGCAGGTGATCTCCTGACATGGCCTTTGATGGTAGACAGGTTGTCTTGCAGAATTTGGAATCCGGGGTGCAAAGCTTGTGTTGCCCTATGAGACGCCAAGTTCCGACCACCCAAATTTGGGTCAACTGTACCGACTTCTGAGTTCCAGGACCCGGGAGTCGACAAATGAATATCTGATAACCAGCACACTTCCAATCAGGTAGTATTTCATTGAGCAATGGATCATCCAAGGGGTCCCTTATCGGACTCGGTAGTCAATATAGGCAAATGATAATGAAAACATGAAAGTTGTTATTATGCTATTTTTCAAACCCGAGACCCTGAAACCCATTGTTCAACATGTCCATTTTTCACTCACTGCACAAATCACCGAGTTTCGAGTGCCGAAACCCAAAACTCGAAACCCGGTGTGCAACACGTCGATTGTTCATTTACATTACACAGATCATCGAGTTCTGAGTGTTGAGTGCCGAAACCCGAAAATATGTATGGAACATGTCCATTTCTTACTCATTGCACATATCACCGAGTTTCGAGTGCCGAAACCCGAAACCCAGTGTGCATCATGTCCATTGTTCAATTATATTACACAAGTCATTGAGTTCCGAGGGCCGAGGGCCAAAATCCGAACCCCGGACCCCGAAAATATGTGCGCAACATGTCCATTTTTCACTCACTGCACAAATCACCGAGTTTCGAGTGCCAAAGCATGAAACTTGAAACCCAGTGTGCAACATGTTGATTTTTCATTTATATCACACAAATAACCAAGTGCCAAGTGCCAAGTGCCGAAACCCAAAGCCCGAGACCCGAAAATATGTATGCAACATTTCCATTTTTCACTTGTTGCACAAATCACTGAGTTTCAAGTGCCAAAACCCAAAACTCAAAACCGGGTGTGCAATATGTTCATTGTTCATTTACATTACACAGATCATCAAGTTCCGAGTGCCGAGGGCTGAGACCCGAAGCCCGAGACCCGAAAATATGTACACAACATGTCCATTTTTCACTCACTGCACAAATCACCGAGTTTCGAGTGCCAAAGCATGAAACTTGAAACCCAGTGTGCAACATGTTGATTTTTTATTTATATCACACAAATAACCAAGTGCCAAGTGCCAAGTGCCGAAACCCGAAGCCCGAAGCCCGAGACCCGAAAATATGTATATAACATTTCCATTTTTCACTTGTTGCACAAATCACTGAGTTTCAAGTGCCGAAACCCAAAACTCGAAACCTGGTGTGCAACATGTTCATTGTTCATTTACATTACACAGATCATCGAGTTCCGAGTGCCGAGGGCCGAAACCCGAAGCCCGAAACCCAAAATCATGTACACAACATGTCCATTTTTCACTCATTGCACAAATCACCAAGTGTCGAGTGTCGAAACCTGAAACCCAGTACTTCAAATGGACACGAATTGTATTTGTATGTATTATCCATTGGTGTAGGGTTCAAATAACTTGGGAATTGTATTTGTCAGCACTCGGTACTCGGTACTCGATGATCGGTGGTCAGTGGTCGGTACTCGAGACTCGGTAGTCAATATAGGCAAATGATAATGAAAAATGACAGTTGTAGTCCACGTCAAGGTGAGTGTCTTGGTAGTCTTTCCTTGTCATTCAGCAAAACATCAGCAATAATGAAAAAATGAAAGTTGTTATTATGCTTAACTTCCTTACCGAAGGTTGTAGTCCAAGTCCAGGTGAGTGTAGTGATAGTCTTTTCTTGTCAATTGGTTATCTTGTTACTCATTATGCAGTACTCGGTACATGGTAATTGGTACTCAGTATTTGGTTTTGATACTCGGTACCCGGGAATCAGTAGTCAGCTTAATGAAGGTTGTAGTCCGAGTCTAGGTGAGTTTATTTGTAGTCTTTTCTTGTCCATTGGTTACCAGGTGACCGAGATATAAGCTAAAGAAATCCGAAACATCAATAATGACAAATGAAATACATGTGTGCAGTAAGTGAGTCTAAAGATAAAAGAATGAATATTAATAGCGAGACTTGCACATTATGTCGAGATATCCAACATAACAAGCCTGTGATGTGATCAGAGACCTGGAATAACACCCATATACATCCATTATAATAGCTTAAAAGCTTAGAAAGATTCATGAAGGATTGATGTAATGATAGGCAAAATGACATATGTGTGGAGAGTGACAATAGACATCTTTTATACAAAGTCACATTTATATATGATTCAGGCCAAAAATATCATTACAAATATGTAGGATAGATTGTAAACTACCCAAGGAACCCATACTGCCTACTGCCCTGAGGGTAGGGGGTGGGTAGAAGGGATATAGTGAAAATATGAGTTGACCCAGCATTAAAGTCCTACCACTGCTCAACTAACCATTTTCGATGCTTTGGGTCTTTGAAGTTTCCCACACTCAATTTCTTACCCATTTCACTTCCTCAGTACTCAATTCTTGGTTGATTTGTCTGTAAATTTATGTCTATGATACTTAAGATATTTGAAATGTACCCCAGGTTTCTGATTATGAAGATTCAATGTTTTGAAGGCATGGGCCCCTTATCAGGCGAAATGGCAAGTATACACACTAGCTCACAAACTCCAGCCTATTGTGAGCTAATCTTGGTCATAAGAAGCAAGAATATAAGCTATGCTCATTATATATTAAAAGGTTGGATCATGGATGCAAGGGCAAGATACTGAAAATCGTGAAAAAATGTCACAAGTGCAATTGTCTATGCTTTGTTCCTGGAAAAGGATCCTGTGTGTCCTGGGCTGGTTATATGATATATCTACTCCGAATATGCTCAGGAATAGACTCCCTACAGTCCTTGAGGTCCAGTCCTACAGGGAAAAAACCCCAGCAGGTGAACCACCAGAAGAGGGGGAGGTACACTATACAATAAAGGATTACCCTATGGTCCTGAGCTCCTGATACATTGTTTCTATTGTTGAATAGATGATTGAGATATAATTTCAAAGTCTATTCACCTAGAAATGAACACATAGGAACATATTTTGTATTTTTATGTATATATGCAATATCCATTTAAGCACCAAGTCTCAACTACCGATTACCAAGTCCCGACACTTGATAGTTGATAGTCGGTATTCGAGCTCCGAGTGCCAATATTGCCTACCAATATCTCAGTCAAATGATAACCAAACCAAGACCCAAGTTCCAAACCTGACTACTGAATACCAAGTATCAGTACTTGGGACTCGGGACTATTGGCTGGAGTACCCAACTATTGATTCACAGGTACCGAGAATTAGAACCAAGTACTGAGTACCTGACTACTGATTCTCGGGTACCAAGTATCAGTACCGAGTACCGAGTACCTGACTACTGATTCTCGGGTATTGAGTATCAGAACCAAATACCGAGTACTGATTCCCTTGTACCGAGTACTGAGTAACGAGATAACCAATTGACAAGAAAAAACTACCAATACACTCACCTTGGCTCGGACCACAACTTTTGTTCAGGAACTTAAACATAATAATAACTTTCATTTTTCATTATTGCCGATGTTTCAGATTTCTTTAGCTTATATCTCGGTTAAATGATAACTGATGGACAAGAAAAGACTACCAATACACTCCCCTAGACTCGGACTACAACCTTCAGTAAGGAAGTTAAGCGTAATAACAACATTCATTTTTCATTACCATTTGCCTATATTGACTACCGACCAGTGGCTGAGTGCCGAAGCTTGAAACTTGAAATCGGTGGAAAATGAAATCTCGCAACAATGTACACATGAACATGTTTCATTTCCATAAACAATTCCCCGAGTGTCATGTACCGAGCCCCGAAACCCAAAGCCTGAAGCCCGGACTGTGTTGTCAGGTTAGTACAAGACACTCGGTGAATTGTCAAAGGAAATGAAACATTTTCATGTGTACATTGTCGCGATATTTTGTTTTCCACTGATTTCAAGTTCCAAGCTTCAGCACTCAGCATCCGGCACTCGGAACTCGGAACTCGGCACTCGGAACTCAGAACTCAGTGAAATGTCTAAGGAAATAGAAATTTCACAATTCCCTGAGTTAGTACAAGACACTCAGTGAATTGTCAAAGGAAATAAAACATTTTCATGTGTACATTGTTGCAAGATTTCGTTTTCCACTGATTTCAAGTTTTGAGCTTCAGCACTCGGCACTCGGAGCTCGGCGCTCGGAACTCGGAATTCGGCGCCCGGAACTCGGAACTCAGTGAAATGTCCAAGAAAATAGAAATTTCACAATTCCCCGAGTGTCATGTACCGAGCCCTGAAGCCTGAAGCCCAGACTGTGTTGTCAGGTTAGTACAAGACACTCGGTGAATTGTCAAAGGAAATGAAACATCTTCATGTGTACATTGTTGCAAGATTTCATTTTCCACTGATTTCAAGTTTCAAGCTTCAGCACTAACCCGGAACTTGGGACTCGATTTTTGAGATGAAAGACATTTTTCAAACATGTTTGAATCAACCTTTCGTGTATCCATAAACATTTTACCAACTCCCGAACCCCGAAATTGTGGACTGCTGGGTCCCGGGTTTCGGGGTTCGGGGGTCCCGGAACTCGGAACTCGGTATGTGAGACAACAAAAATATATTTCAAACACAGGTAAGTCAATGTGTTTGTCAATCAACTTGATTGTAAATTATATTTTATTGATCTCCCCAAATTTCCCAAGTTCCGAGTTCCGAGCTCCGGGACCCCCGAACCCCGAAACCCGACACCCGGCAGTCCACAATTTCGGGGTTCGGGAGTTGGTAAAATGTGTATGGATAGATGAAAGGTTAATTTAAATATTTTTGAAAGATGTCCCATATGAAATGTCAAGTCCCAAGTTTCAATTTCCGGGTTTCTGGAAGGCCGAGTCCCGAAGCCCGAAGTCCTGAAACCCGGAGTTCAAAACTCGGGACTTAACATTTCATATGGGACATCTTTCAAAAATGTTTAAATCAACCTTTCATCTATCCATACACATTTTACCAACTCCTGAACCCCGAAATTGTGGACTGTCGGGTTTCGGGGTTCGGGGGTCCCAGAGCTCGGAACTCGGAACTTGGGAAATTAATAAAATATAATTTACAATCGAGTTGATTGACAAACACATTGACTTACCCGTGTTTGAAATATATTTTTGTTGTCTCACATACCGAGTTCCGAGTTCCGGGACCCCCGAACCCCGAAACCCAACACCCGGCAGTCCACAATTTCGGGGTTCGGGGGTTGGTAAATCTCGGTTTGGAGTTTTGCACTGAAAATTTGACATTTATACGTATCTAGGCTCACCCATATATGTACCCATCTATGTACAATTCCCCCACATCAGCCCACCCATCTATGTATTATCCCCCACGTCGGCCCACCCGTCTATGTAATACATCCTATGTTGGCCCACCCGTCTATATAATTATACCCCATCTTGGCCCACCTGTCTATGTAATAAATATTTTATCACACCCTCGGCCCACCCGTCTATTTGATATCCCTTTCGTCGGCCCACCCATATATGTAATACTTTTTATGTCGGCCCACCTGTATATGTAATACACCCCGCGTCAGCCCACCCATCTATGTAATATTCCCCTACCTCGGCCCACCCATATATGTAATACACCCCTGTCGGCCCGCCCGTCTATATAACAATATTTGCCTTACATCTCTCTTCAGCCCAGCTGTCTATAATATCCTACTCTACATATTACCCTGATGGGCCCACCCATCTCCATGAATGATCATATTCCCCTGGCCCATCCGTCAACATCAAGGATATATATATCATTGGCATACATGGGCCCACCCGTCTCCATCGGAAATACTATGTGTCCTGGCCCATCCATCATCATCGAGAATATACACAACATGGGCCCATAATCCGCTGGCCCGTCTCATATGGGATATTATGTAGGTCGGGTGGCCCGTATAATACGGAATTTGTCACTGAAGGGGCTCAATCTGCTGTACTTGCTAGACAAGTGCGTTCGACCCGAGGGGTTAGCTACTATCTGATATTAGTCTGAAGGTAGTGAAATGATAAGCGATCAAAAGTCCGAGTGTGGGAAACAAAGTCCGAAGGTATAATCACAAGTCCGATGCCAAAGTGTCGGGTCCGATGTTTTCAGGTTAGCGGACTAGCGGGTTTCGGGTGCGGGTTCAGTGGACTATGGAGAATAGTGGTAGTGAATGTTGGGAAAGTGAGCGGTATGCGGAATATATTGATAATGACAGGTATTTCAGATAGAAAGAGCAGTAATATTTGCAATGTCAACTAAGAACTACGGAATATTGGGTTTGGCCACAAAGCGTCAGGAAACAGCTCCCTACTACTTGGATGATGAATAAGGCTTGAGGTCAGTCCAATATATATATAAGTATGTAGAAATGCGGAACCTGTAGGCGAAAGTAGCTGCGGAATATTTCAGGTCTGATGTACATGTAAACAAACACGAGGCGCTGCGGACTATGGGAACACATGTAATAGCACTTGCTGCAACATGAGTAATGTGCAAAATAATGAACTATGCACCTAGTGGGGCTAGCAAGACAGGATGAGACACGGATAGGACAAGTGCACGGGAAAATGTTGGGTCTGATGTGGCTGAAACATCGGGTCTGCTAGTCAAAATGTTGGGTCCGAAATGTCAAAGTGTCGGATTGAACGGGAAGCGATTATTGTGTGATGTGAATCATGAAATAACTGAATACAAGCATAGCGCAAGCTCGAGTGCTACAACAGGCCAATGGACCATGGGCCAATGTTAGAAATATCATCGACTATGATGGATGGGCCAGGAGGAATATTATTTCTGATGGAGGCGGGTGGGCCCATGTGGGGAATATGTAGAGTAGATGAGTGGGCCGATGGACATGGATATTCTATAGATGGATGGGCCAAGGTAGTTGGATATTATGTAGATGGGTGTACCAAGGTAGGTGGGTATCAGATAGACGGGTATGCTGAGGGTACTTGTTATCACATACACGGGCGGGCCCAGATATATATTGTATTAGATGGGTGGGCTGAGGTTGTTATATTATATATTATATTAGACGGGTGGGCCCACATATTACAGTGACCTATCTCCATATAATACGAGGGAATGGACGTGCATAATATCCCGTATGATACGGGCCAGTGGATCATGGGCCCATGATAAAAATATCCTCGACTATGACGGATGGGCCGGGAGGAAAATTATTCCTGATGGAGGTGGGTGGGCCCATGCAGGGAATATATAGAGTAGATGAGTGGGCCGATGTACATGAATATTAGGTAGACGGGTGGGCCGAGGTAGTTGGATATTATGCAGATGGGTGTATTAAGGTAGATGTGTATGAGATAGATGGGTAGGTACTTGTTATCACATTCACGGGTGGGCCCAGACACATATTAAATTAGACGGGTGGGCCGAGGGTATTATAAAATATTGTATTAGACGGGTGGGCCCAGACGCATATTAATTAGACGGGTGGGCCGAGGGTGTTGTATGGGATGTTGTATTAGACGGGTGGGCCGAGGGTGGTATAAAATATAGATGGGTGGGCCCATGTGTATCATAATTGTAGACATGATGGAGCTGAGGTAGTTGTACATCAACCAAATCAGAGGAGGTAATAAATCAAAGTTACCAAGTTCCCGGAGCAGCAGGTGATCTCCTGACATGGCCTTTGATGGTGCACAGGTTGTCTTGCAGAATGTGGAATCCGGGGTGCGAAGCTTGTGTTGCCCTACGAGAAGCCAAGTTCCGACCACCAGAAATTCTCCGAGTTCCGAGTTCTGGGACCCGGGACTCAACACATAATTTAGTTAATACTTTCCGTGTTAAATGGCCAACCGAAGTTGAGATGTTTCTGAAGAGAGCAGCAGGTGCTCTCTTGACATGGCCTTTGATGGTGCACTAGGTTGTCTTGCAGAATGTGGAATCCGGGGTGCGAGGCTTGTGTTTCCCTACAAGAAGCCAAGTTCCGACCACCCAAATTTGGGTCAACCGTACCGACTTCCGAGTTCCGGGACCCGGGAGTCGACAAATGAATATCTGATGACCAGCACACTTCCAATCAGGTAGTATTTCATTGAGCAATGGATAATAATACATCTTTGACAGCCAAAATTATCTCAGGCTCCCTTATCTGATCCTCTCTATCTCCACCCCCTTTAACACCAAAGTCCGGACATTCAGCATTCAGTGTCTGATTTCCCAAGATTAACATCCAGCATGAACGGTTCTTCCCCTTCCACTCCTGATAGTATAAACATCTGGCGCACTTGGGCCCTGACTGTGACTTATGAAGCAGGGGAATATACCGAACAGAAATTCAAGGCAGAGAAGACTGGAGGAGGCCCAGTCATACCTTCCCCCAACCTAGACACTGATCTGGTGATGGCGTGCGATCGCTTGGCTGATGTACTCATAAAGGCATATAAAAATCCCAGTGGGTCTTCCTGCAGATTCGGAAAATTCGTTTTATCATTCAAATTCCTGCATGACAGTTCAGATGCAGGTGGATATTGCAAGATATAGCAAATTGATCTCCCCGAAGGACACCGGGCATAATGAACAGAGAGAGGCTAGGTTGCTTGAGAGGTGTCCTCCTGGCCATGAAGGCAAAAGGTTGGTCGACGAACCTGCCACAATTCTCGATGCATCCGGTGCCATCATTGCATGGTACCTCCCAGACGCCCTGACCGACACCACCCAGGTGTGTAATATACATTGTTACTCAATGGATATTGAATATCAAATGGAACCTACAGAAGGAAATCAGGGAAGCCACCAATTTGCTCGCTCCAAGCCTCGAAAAAAGTGTAAGGGCTGATGGCAATTGGCGAACTAATCAAAAGTGGTTCAACCGGGGCTCGGAAGATGTTGGGGCAACTCCCGGATGCATCAATTTATCTCCGGCATGGTTTCAACAGGGACACGAGGTAGGATCTGATGAGATGGTGATTCCGGCAGTCATACTCACCAATCCCAAAGAATGTGTCCGATCCGGAGGTATCTGCATCATTGAAGGGACCTTCCTGCGAGAATATCCTCAAAGCCATTTCAAGGCCAGCAGCCATCGCGTCCGCGGCACTCAGAGTCATGCATCCTGAGCAGTACTGGGCAGGGTTGCGAACCTTGTCAAACCTAGGACATATAGCAGTAAGCAAGGATCTGCCACAGATGCCGGAGGCCCTGCAGTACTGGGCATCGGTGTTTAACACCCTCTCCATCATTTCCAATCGGGAAACCCCAAATCATCGAGACCATTTGTCCATTGCTGAATGCTTCGACATTCTCACCACCGTGGGGAACTATTCTAATGCTCGGATGACAATGCCAAGCCTTCAGCTGGAGTTCAAGTACAATTCCGGCTGTATGATTGCGTTTTCCGGAAGGATTGTGAGACATGGAGTTTATGATGTGGAAGGGGATCGGATTGCTTGGGCATGGTATATGAGGGATTCTGTTCACATTTACGCTGGTGTTCCATCATGTGGATGGGCTAGTGTGGATGGTCCATACAGTGTGTGAAAGATCAAACAAAGAGCATGCATTGTGACCTATATACATTCCAACAAATGAATACCATGTACCAATAGTTATCTGGACCTCAATACTCAATTGTGAGCATTTGCGAAGTGATATATGGGACTGAATAATTTGGATGCGAGCCTCGGTATTCGATAATCGGAACTCGGGACTTGACATATGGGAGTCCCGAGTGCCGGGGTACTGAGTCCCGACACCCGGACCTCAGCACTTGATATTTGAGACTGGGGGAAGATGTATCAATATGCTCAAATTAACATTTGTTATTGCCGTACACATTTGACAAAACCCTGAACCCCGACATTGTGAACTCGGGACTCGACACTGTTCTGAATATCCGAGTCCCGGAAGCCCAGGTCCCGAGTCCCGAATTTCGGAGTTCGGGGTTCGGCGACCCGGAGCTCGGCAACTGTGTTGGGTGTCAGGGTATGCGGAGCATTGGAGATAGCATGTGTCAGTATTTTGCATTTCATGGTTCATGTTTGGCTGACACATGCGATCTCCAATGTTCCGGATACCCTGACACCCAACACAGTTGCCGAGCTCCGGGTTGCCGAACCCCGAACTCCGAAATTCGGGACTCGGGACCTGGGTTTCGGGACTCGGGACTCGGAGCTCGTGACCTGGGACTCGACAGTGTTCTAAATACCGAGTCCCTGACGCCCGATTCTATAATCACGAAAGATTCCATAATCACGAAAGATGAACCATGAAACGCAGAATACTGACACATGCTATCTCCAATGCTCCGGATACCCTGACACCCAACACAGTTGCCGAGCTCCGGGTCACCGAGTCCCGAAGCCCGAGTCCCGAGTCCCGAATTTCGGAGTTCGGGGTTCGGCGACCCGGAGCTCGGCAACTGTGTTGGGTGTCAGGGTATCCGGAACATTGGAGATCGCATGTGTCAGCCAAACATGAACCATGAAATGCAAAATACTGACACATGCTATCTCCAATGCTCCGCATACCCTGACACCCAACACAGTTGCCGAGCTCCGGGTCGCCGAACCCCGAACTCCGAAATTCGGGACTCGGGACTCGGGCTTCGGGACTCGGTGACCCGGAGCTCGGCAACTGTGTTGGGTGTCAGGGTATCCGGAGCATTGGAGATAGCATGTGTCAGTATTCTGCGTTTCATGGTTCATCTTTCGTGATTATGGAATCTTTCGTGATTATAGAATCGGGCGTCAGGGACTCGGTATTTAGAACACTGTCGAGTCCCAGGTCACGAGCTCCGAGTCCCGAGTCCCGAAACCCAGGTCCCGAGTCCCGAATTTCGGAGTTCGGGGTTCGGCAACCCGGAGCTCGGCAACTGTGTTGGGTGTCAGGGTATCCGGAACATTGGAGATCGCATGTGTCAGCCAAACATGAACCATGAAATGCAAAATACTGACACATGCTATCTCCAATGCTCCGCATACCCTGACACCCAACACAGTTGCCGAGCTCCGGGTCGCCGAACCCCGAACTCCGAAATTCGGGACTCGGGACTCGGGCTTCGGGACTCGGTGACCCGGAGCTCGGCAACTGTGTTGGGTGTCAGGGTATCCGGAGCATTGGAGATAGCATGTGTCAGTATTCTGCGTTTCATGGTTCATCTTTCGTGATTATGGAATCTTTCGTGATTATAGAATCGGGCGTCAGGGACTCGGTATTCAGAACACTGTCGAGTCCCAGGTCACGAGCTCCGAGTCCCGAGTCCCGAAACCCAGGTCCCGAGTCCCGAAACCCGAGTCCCGAGTCCCGAATTTCGGAGTTCGGGGTTCGGTGACCCGGAGCTCGGCAACTGTGTTGGGTGTCAGGGTATCCGGAGCATTGGAGATCGCATGTGTCAGCCAAACATGAACCATGAAACGCAAAATACTGACACATGCTATCTCCAATGCTCCGGATACCCTGACACCCAACACAGTTGCCGAGCTCCGGGTCGCCGAACCCCGAACTCCGAAATTCGGGACTCGGGACCTGGGCTTCCGGGACTCGGGTGCAAGATTTTTGAATGCATAGAATATTTTACATCTTGTATACAATGAACACTGAATGGGACTACACTCCTTTGCCTTTCCTCAATTTCTCTAACATGTCAGTGTACATCTTCACCTCTGCCATCTTGGCTTTGATGCCCTCATCTTGCTCCTCCATCAATGCTTCCATGCGTTCTTTAATCCACCTCAGTCCCATAAGTGGTGGAGTCGAAGTGTTTCTCAACTTCTCTGGAAGAACCAAAGCATCATCCTCAACATTAAGCTAGAACAGATAAGTCATCAATCAAGGCAATTCAGCTAACATCTTACCGCCCAATACTGGTAGTGAGAGACGCAGGAAGCCATTATTTCATCCCACTGCCATGGTTGATCCGGGATTGTGGTGTTTCCCATCCACCATGGACATGTATATGCAAACACAATCCGGGACGGATGTCCTGCAATTGCCTCATCATCAAATGAAAGGAGGTGGAATGAAAAGACGTCGTCCGGAACCGTGTTCCAGGTTAGCATGGGATACAACTTAAGGATATAAGCGACAGGGACCGGAAGAACCGACACGATATTCTGTGAAGCTGAGTACTGCAGGAGTGGTGTGACAAAAGTCTGCTCAAATTTTTAGCATTGACCAACAAAGTCATCAGGGCAGTGGTAACATACATTCATCTCCCATTGCAGCCCGGCTTTAAAATACTTTATCCGGTCAGAAGATAGACCATTGTTGGCAGCTTCCGTCTGATATTGAGAGATGCATGCACGGACCCGCGATCCAGCCATTGCCAATGTGCAGGAAATAGTTCCAAGGCTCAGCTTCAGGGGTCGGTAAT